CGAGGCGGACGCGGGGACGCCCTCTTTCGAGATGACCTGGAGCAGCACGACCAGCAGTGGCTACTGCAGCCAGGAGGACTCGGACTCGGAGCTCGAGCAGTACTTTACGGCGCGCACCTCGCTAGTGCGCCGGCCGCGCCGGGACCAGGTGGGGACCCGAGGTTGCGGGCGGCGGGCCTGGGGCGGTCACTGGGGCCCCGCCCCTGCCCGGTAAGTTTCCAGGTGGAGAGTTAGTTTGTGGGCAGCCCCGCGCTTCCGTCAGCGTGGATCGCGGGCCGGTCCCGGGCCAGCCGGTGGAACCGTGCGTCGGACTCTCGGCCCGTCGGTACTGGGCGCCGAGGCCTAGCTCTCTGCCCCAGACCGGTCGAACCAGGGGAAGAAGCTACGTGGCTTGGGGCAGACCTGGGACGGGCATTAACGACCTATGACTAAAGTCTGGACTAGGACCTCGATTTCCGCTTTCGGGTGCACCCACCCACTCTGGGAAGAACCCGGGAGGAAGTGGAGAGGGCGGAGTCCTCGCCGGGAATTGAGAAGTGTTTTTAGGATAGAGGCGAGGGATGGGCTGCGCCCCCCAAAAGCACTTCGGAGTGGAGCCAGCTGAGTCTCCACCGCCGGCGGGTCCTGGCCTGTTACCAGCTGCTGGAATGTGGAGGAGTCTGATGCCCACCCTAGAGTGGACCTGGCGTGCCCCCGTTGGGATCATGTATACCAAAACTGGAGTGGATCTGGAGATAGGGGACTTGGGAATGGACGGGAAGGAAGCCTTGTTTTGGACTGTAAGCATCCAGGAGCACTTTATCCACAAGGCTAGATTGTAAAATACCTGAGGAGGGGTTACTAGTCCAGGACTATAAGGTGTGGTGCTGGAGCAGCTGTGCCTCTGGGAGTCTCCTGGGTGTCCCCTTTCTTAGAGACCTCTGTGCTGTGTGCCATGAGTGTGACCGCCAGGCTCAGATAACTGTTCTGGGGCTGGTACACCTCAGGGGAGCATCCTGGCCAGACTGTCAGGAAAGAGAGATGGAGCCCAGCCTGGCGTGGCTCAGCGGTTGAGCATCAACCTAGGATCCAGGCGATCGGGGTTCGATTCCCGGTCAGGGCACATGCCCAGGTTGCAGACTGCAGCCGATCAGTGACTCTCTCATCATTGATATTTCTGTCTCTCTCTCTCCCCCTCCTTTCCTCTCTCTGAAATCAATAAAGATATATTTAAAAAAAAAAAAAAGAGAGAGAGAGATGGAGACTATGAAGCTCAGTATGTCTGGCGTCCATGGAGCAGAATTCCTTACATGAGCCAAGAGAAGGGGGAGTTGTGGATATGTCTTTAGATGAAAATTTTAAACCTCAAAAGCTCAGCCCAGAGCTTATGTGCAAAGTTTGAGTGTGGATCCCTGAAACTTGCTCTGTGTCGCTCAGGCCTGAGCCACTTTCCATTGTGGAAAGGCAAGAAAACCATAAGACACTAACCAATTGAAAAGGAGGTTGGGGAGTCCCCAGTTGTATGTAAAATAAGACCACCGGCCTCTATGGACAGTGGCAGAGTGGAGAGTGCGTTGCTGTGGTGTCAGAGGTGGGAAATCCCATGGTCCTGCTGTGCATCCCTCCGGGACGGCTGTCCGAATCCTCGTCCGCCAGGCAGTTTTGGAATCGGAAAAAGAAGCTCTTCCTCCTCTAAAATCCTGGTTGAACAGTATAGTGCCTCCCATCCAAGTCCCATGTTTTATGAGTAAATATACTGAGGGAGATTCACCTGGAGAAGGAAAGGGGCTGGAACTGAGGTCACTGCATCCCAGGCCAGGGCCGTGAATCACCTGAGAAGGGAAGAGCAAGGAGCAAGTTTTCTCACTCCCAGGCTGGAGCTCAGAGCCAGCCCAAGGCAGGGGAGTAAGTTAGTGCCACCCCATGCCCACCGTGTTCTGTAAATAAATCTCTTCCTGCCTGCCCTGGCACTGGAGTCTGTTCCACTTTCCTCCTGCCCCTAGCATCCCTCTCATCCTGGCGCTTCTCACTGGGGCATTCCTTCCTGTCCCCGTCCTGCTCCTTGGGCCTGAACAAACATATCCACCCTTTATTCACAGCCTCCAGCCCTCGTTTACCCCGCTCCAGAATTCCATTTTCCAGAGTCCACAACATTTGTTCTTACCAGCCTTATGGGGTTTCCCACTGTCCCCAACAAGGTTTGTGCTGGAGTTCTCACTTCTCGATGCTCTCCGCCATCCAGGAGACCTTTGGAAACTTGGGGAAGCAAATAGGCTTCAGTTCCCACCTCTCCCCCAGTACCTTTTTCCTGTGGAGCCCCAGCCTTAATCCTCAGCACCATGTACTTGCTGGCTGCTGAACAGCAGGTTCTAGGTGAAGAGCAGACAGCTAAAAGGCTGTGACCTCCACCCTGCACTTTCGTCTGTCCTCCTGATTTGTCCCCATCAGATGGTTTAAGCGTAGAGGGCTCCAAAGCAGCAGTCAGGGAGAACCTTGGCTGCCCTGGGCACAAGGTTATTCTATGAGACCTTCTGGTGGGAACTCCCTTGGGACTTGGGACAAGGCATTAGTCAGCTGTGATCTCAGCTTCGTCTGTGACACTCCCATTCCAGCTAGGGCCTGATATCAACAGGAAAGGAAGAAAGGCTGATGCAATGGGACCAAGGGAGTTTGGTAGAAGAAAGTTCATTCAGTGCCCTGTTCACCCTGGTCCATACTCCACCTTTCTGATAAGAATCCAATTCCTGGAGGACTGGGGGAGTGGCTGAGTGGTGGAGCTAAAATCTTGGCACTGAACATCCGTATAGCAGGGAGGAAGTGCAGAAACCTACCTGCTTGGCACTTGAGGGACAGGCTCTACCAGGAGGCTATCTGTTTACATCTGGCAGATTTGGAACCTGGCCTTAAGTTACATTTTGTGCAGCCTGGGTCAAGATCAAATGGCATGTCACAGTGGGCTGACCCCAGGTCCTCTACCAAGGGGTGTTAATGTTGTAGAGGTTGCCCTTCCCCTCTGCCCACTGGTGCGGGGCTCCTGGTGTGCAAAAGTCCTCACACTTCTCACCCTACAGTGGGTCATGGCCCTTTGCCAGGGCAGAGTGGCAAAGTGGGCTTCCTTCTTCAGGACACACACCAATCCCACCTAAATAAAGTGCTGAGATCAGGCTGTGAGAGGTAGTTTTACCATAAATTAGAGTCCTTCCTCAGCATTTTCCCTCTTTTCCTGGCCCCAGGCCTTGTGCCTTCAGTTGCCTTGGTTTTAAGGTACCCATAGGGCCTCACCCAGATCTGTCCCCAGTCGGGGCAGAGAGTAGCCAAATGCTTCTGCCATTGCTGTCTCCATCTATTGCATACAGAACAAGGAGCAGTGATGGGTTCTTCTCATCAGGCTTGAGCTTTGTCAGTTTCCAAAAGCTACCCCAGAGGCCGTTTTTCAGTGGCCTGCCCAGGGCTCACTTCTCTTCCTATGACATGCATTGCAGTTGGATGGGTTCCTTAAGGGTCCATGTTGGTCCATCTTTCAGGATGAGCCTGTGGAGTGGGAGACATCAGACCTTTCTCAGGCTGAGATTGAACAGAAGATCAAGGAGTACAATGGCCAGATCAACAGCAACCTCTTCATGAGCCTGGTGAGTTGACAGCCTGGGAAGGGGTGTGGGGCGGGGCAGGAACCCAGCTGTGTGCCTGATGTCCAAAGGGTTACAGCTGAGGTATTCTTGGGTGGGCCCATGTAGTGATTTATTCACACCTAGCCTAGCCTCATGTGGACTGGCAGTGCCAAATCTGTCCCTTCTCACCTGGAACCTAGTCATGGTGCGGTTTCTCTTCTTCAGAACAAGGATGGCTCCTACACAGGCTTCATCAAGGTTCAACTGAAGTTGGTGCGCCCCGTCTCAGTGCCCTCCAGCAAGAAGCCACCCACCTTGCAGGATGCCCGGCGAGGCCCAGGGCGGAGCGCTGCAGTGAGGCGCCGCACCTCCTTCTACCTACCCAAGGATACTGTCAAGCACCTGCATGTGTTGTCACGCACGCGGGCACGAGAGGTCATTGAGGCCCTGCTGCGCAAGTTCTTGGTGGTGGATGACCCCCGCAAGTTTGCGCTCTTTGAGCGGGCTGAGCGCCATGGCCAAGGTGAGCTTTCCACCTCACCCCACCTTGTGTGAGGGCATATATGCATGCACCTGTGCATGCAGGGACTGAGGCGGCTGGGCCTGACTCTAATCAAACACTCCCCTTCCCTTCCTGGCCCGCAGTGTACCTCCGGAAGCTGTCAGATGATGAGCAGCCCCTGCGGCTGCGGCTCCTTGCCGGGCCCAGTGAGAAAGCCCTAAGCTTTGTCCTGAAAGAGAATGATTCTGGGGAGGTGAACGTGAGTATGCAGCCCTCCTTTGTTTCTTGGTTGTCACTAGACAGGGCTGATGGGTTGCAGCTATAGTGAGGGTTAGAGGAGGAACAGGGTTGAAGAACAAGCCCTGCAGTGCTTCTCCAGGAGTGCATGAGCGTTGTGGCTAATGTGAAGGCTTCCTGGCCATTCACACCAAGGTCTAGGGCCTGTCTCAAGAAGCCAGGGAGAATTGTCTTGGTACTCTGCTCTTTCTCATTGTGGAAAGTCCTCAGGACATACAGGAGTCCATCTGACAGTATGGTGATCCCAGACCAGATCAAAGCCACACAGATGGACACCGGACATCCTGGAGGCTTCCCTTCAGACATTAGGACTTTTTACCTGGAAGCTTTCTGGTTCCAATGTATTGAGTCCATGAAGTGGGATTAGATTCAGAGTGTGAGTGTGACCTGTCCATGGTAACTGGAAACATCGGTTTGGTGGCCCATCTGTGAGGTGACTGCCCTACTTTGTGGGACCAGTCTTCTATACAGACTTGGTGGGAATCCTAGCACAGACCATTGAGGAAAGAACCTGATATTAGAAAGTCCCATCCTAGCTGTGTGACCATGATGCTTGGTCTTTTCTGGGAGGGCTTGCTGGCTTGGCCATGCCTGCTGCAGCCTTTGTCACCCCTCCCCCCTGCAGTGGGATGCCTTCAGCATGCCTGAACTCCACAACTTCCTGCGCATCCTACAGCGGGAGGAAGAGGAACACCTCCGCCAGATCCTGCAGAAGTACTCCTACTGCCGCCAGAAGATCCAGGAGGCCCTGCATGCCTGCCCCCTGGGGTGACCTTATACCCCTGGGTAGAAGGAGGAGAGTAGGCAGCACAAAGGGCGTGCCGTGTGAGTGTGACAGGGCCTGTGTGGCCTGAGGAATGAGTGTGCATGGAGGCCCTCATCTTGCTGGTGGAATGAACCCAGAGAATGGCGAAGGATCTGGCCCTGCGTCCACCCATGTGCGCCCTCTGCCGTTCATGTACTGAGTCATGGTGGGCCAGGGCTGCCCTGGGAAGGTGCTCCAGGCTTGCAGCAGAGGTAGAGCAGACAGACGTCTCTCTCCTTAATTCGTGTCTCAGATGCGAGAATCTAGGAGACCCAACAAACAGAATAGGGTCATGTTTGCAGGGATGAGGACTCTCATGTATGAAGAGAGGTATGTTTTGGATCTTGGATGGGGTCTCAGGGCAACCCTATCAAAGCCAGTAGTGGGTGTTCAAGATAAGCAAGATAAGACAGACATCAAGGAAGAGTCTAGATTTCCCTCTACAGTACCCTCTGGTGCTATCTCATGGTGTAGTAACAGTGCCTCAGTGCCTCCTCCAAGGAGGATGTCCCTGGACGGGGTCTGTGTGAATGTGGGCACTGGTCGAAGTCCACGCCTTGTTTGCCAGTCAAAGCCAGGGTCTTTACTTCGGGTATTTTTGATGATGTGTGTGAATGTATATTTTGTGGCCTCAGCTGAATGCCTCCTGTGGGGAAAGGGGTGGGGGTGACAGTCATCATCAGGGCCTGGGGCCTGAGAAAAATTGGCTGAATAAAGATTTAAGAACCTCCTGCTTTTAGATTCTGTATTATGGGCCCTCAGCCCCAGTTGCCCTTCATGCCAGTGGCTGCCCAGGGTGATGGACAGGCTCACAGAGCACCTTTTCAAGGTCACCATGGGACCAATCTATGAAGGATTTGTGGTACAGATATGTAAGTCAGCACCCTGGGCTCAGGTCTTGATAAGAATATCAGCTGCAGCTAGCGCTTAGGGAAACCACACACCCTGCAAGCTGTGAGAGGCGCTTCACCAAATATTTATCGAGCCACTACTGAGGACCTGACACTCACTGCTCATGGCACCGAAAGTACGTCTGTTAATTCTTGCCTTCCTGAAGCATACCTTCTGCTGGGTTTGTAAAGAACACTGAATTTGAATTCTTAAGGCCTTAATGTGGCTGTATGACATTTGGCCAGTTCCTTAATTTTCCATAGACTTGGTTTCTTCTCCACATGCCACAGTGGTGATCGAAAAAAAACGGCGTGGGAATAGAATGAGGCCAGAGAGGCACCGCGCCACCTGGCCTGGGGTCAAAAGAGTGCTGGTGGTTGGGCAGGCGACTGGCCTCGGGGGTGGGCACGCCGGGGACACCATACAAGTCAAAGAAGCGCGCGGGACCAGCCGCCGCTTTCCTGGGTGGGAGCTGCCCCAGCTGGAGACAGTGGCCTGTCGGAACCTGACGTCTCGCAGTGCATGCTGGGATGCCTCGTGTCTGAGGGCGGCTATTGGTCCTGTTCTGCGGAGCGACGGGAGAAGCAGCCAATCTGGGGGCAGCGTGCGGAAGCGGAAATGATGTTTCCGTGGAGACGGTGGAGCCTGCGGAAGACGGCGGCGGCACCTGCGAGCGGAAGCCGAGGCAGGGCATGGTGGTGCCGACGGCCGGGTGAAAAAGCAAAGCTGCTGCGGGGTCCGCCATGCGCCGGCGGCCCTGACATGGGCGCCAGCGGCTCCAAAGCTCGGGGCCTGTGGCCCTTCGCCTCGGCGGCGGGGGGCGGCGGCCCGGAGGCTGCGGCCGCTGAGCAAGCTTTGGTGCGTCCGCGAGGCCGAGTCGTGCCCCCCTTCGTATTCACGCGCCGAGGGTAAGGGCGTGGGGTTCCGCCCCAGGGAGGACAGGCGGGCTGCCAGGTGCCGTGCGTCACAGAGCTCCCGCCGCCGTTTCCCCTGCGCCCGAGCTAGGGCGATTCCCATATTGAGGCCCCTTTTGGAGCAGGGGATGTGGAAAGCTGGGGCAGCCGGTTCCTGCCAGGCTGCTCTTGAGATCTCTCTAGGAGAAAAAGGGGCCTGTAGATTGTCCCTGCGCAGGCAGTTTTATGCACGGTGGAGCTAAGACAGGGCCTCCAACACTTAAGGACGTCTTTTATTTCTTCAAGCCCAGCCTGCAAGTTGAAGGCGCCTAGCCTCCTCCCCTCCCCCCGATTCTTCCGAGGGGAGAATAACCCTTTGTTTTGGCTGTTGCCGTTTCCCACAATGGTGAGGTTGGACCTCTGAGAGTATGGGGTCGGGAAAGCAGAACTGGGCCCTAGTGTTGGGGATGGGGCTTAGGAAAAACGACCCGCACTCAGATATGTTCAGATCTGGAGCACTGACCTCCTCCCTCTCCCCAGGGGTCCAGACAGGAGCAATAGATTGACCCGGCCCTGGTGGTCCCCTGGGGACTGACACTCAAGTGATGCTAGAGGTTTGGCTGTAGATACTAGGGAGACCCAACAGTAGCAGTTTGGCTGCACCAGCCACCTGGGGTGGGTGGGAAGAATGCAGCCTTTTTCCTTTTAGGCTCCCTCCTAGCTCAGGCATCTGCTGTCTCAGGCTTTGGCCCTGGGCCAGCAGTGTCTTCTGGATACCAACATGCTCAGCCACCATCCTGCCCACTCTAGAAGTCCTGGGTGGAGTCAAGGACCTGATGCTGGAATGGCTATTCTTGCTGAACAAACCAGTGATGAGAATTGGCCTTGGCTGCCTGGACAGTGTGCCCTGGTATAGCCTCTCTTTTTGGGGTGTGACAGTAGCACTGGCCACCACCCCACTCCTCACTTCCTTCTAGTAGACCCCAGGCCCTAAGCAAGGCATATTATCTCCCCTTCCTTCCACCAAGGTTGTACCTCCCCTTTTGGAGGTGCGCACACTTCCCAGTGGTCTGTAGCATGTGCCATGATCAGGTGTGAGGTTCCAGCCCAGCCTGTTCCCCTCTCCTTCTACACAGCTCCATGTTCTATGACGAGGATGGAGATCTGGCTCACGAATTCTATGAGGAGACAATCGTCACCAAGAACGGGCAGAAGCGGGCCAAGCTGAGGCGGGTGCATAAGAACCTGATTCCTCAGGTGAGGGGCTGGGCAGTGGTCATGGAGCCTATGTTGAGTGTGTTGAGGAGACCCAGATGGGGTCTGCTGTCATGCTGGGGGCTCTTGTGGGAGGAGTTGGGAGGAACATGAAGGCTTCCTGGAGTAGGGGCACTGAGATGACCCTCACCAGCCCCCATTTCCATGGCAGGGCATCGTGAAGCTGGATACCCCCCGCATCCACGTGGATTTCCCTGTGATCCTCTATGAGGTGTGAGCCTGGGGGGCTGCAGTCCTAAGCATCTCCTGCCTCAGCAAGAAACCCTCAGGCTCAAGGTGTGGCTTCCACTGAGGAACCTAGGCTGAAGCCACAATCCTGAATAAACTCCATTGGCCTGGAACCTTCAGCTGTGAGCCAGGCAGTCCTGCAATGTTGGTTGGGTGCTGGTTTGTCTTTGATTAAGAGGTGGCTGGTGGCTGGTGAGGGCTAATAGCAGAGTTACCAGCCCACCTTCCCTGGCAATCCCTATAAAGAGCATGGCAGGGCATATGCTGATTGGGAATGTATTATTCCTGTGCCCTTACCTGGCCTGCTTTCTTCCAAGCTTGCCTAGGGCCCAACCCTACTAGGGGCTACAGCACTTTACAAATAAGGTCTTTCTTCCAGCCCCTGGCTGTGGGAGCTGTACACAAGTGGGAACTTCCTTTCCCTCACTTCCTCTACCCATTCGTTGGAACATTTCAGCCGTTTGCTACCTCGATTCCTCCTCTGTTGGACAGAGGCTGGGGGCAACGCAAGCCTGATTCTTCCTACCTACCTGCCCATGTGTTCCCACCCCCAGATGGATGGACAGTTTGCTGGCTGTTAATAGGAGTAGGGACTGGTGTGGGAGGTTTCTCTCTCTACCTAGGACTGGGCTGATCCCTCCCCACTGCAACTAGTTGTCCCTTGAGTCATCCTCTGCCCCCCTCCCTGAATTGAGAAGGCATAGGATGGGATCAGGAAGGGCTATGGATGCCTGTGCCTATGAGAAGTTGCCCCTACCCACCTATTCCATCTAATCTCCCTTGCTTTTTGCACCAGGTCCCCCCCCCCCCCCCCCCCC